AATTAACAATAAGTGTGTGTGTGGCTGGAGCCATGTGAAGAGCATTTGCTCCTCTTCCAGAGAACCTGGGTTTGGTTCCCAGCACCCTTATCAGACAGCCTCTATAAGCTCCAACACTCACATGTACATACTTCCCTATGTAGTCCTGGCTATCCTGAAACTCCCTCTGTAGACCAGGCTGGTCTCGAACTCATGATAACTGCCTGTTTCTGCCTTCCAAGTGCTGGGATTAAAGGCACGTGCCACCACAACCAGCTCAACATACACATAATTTGAATATTTTTAGTTTTTCGAGACAGGGTTTCTCTGCATAGCCTTGGCTGTCGATTTTTAGACCAGGGTGGCCTCAAACTCACAGAAATATGCATGCCTCTGCCTTTCCAAGTGCTGGGATTACATGCGTGCACCACCACGCCCAGCTAAATAAATTTATTTTTAGTTAAAAATCTGTTTCTTAAAAAGCTATTACACAAAATAATAGAAAGAAATCTTTAAAAAAAAATTTAAAGCTATTGGACTTAGTGTGACATAGTGCTTTCACCCAGGTTGGCCTCTGCTCCCAAGTGCAGCAGCAGGAGCATGTCAGGACTGACTGATGTCCATCCTTCCAGGGCAGACCACCTGCTCTTATTTTCTTGCCAGGAAATTCAGGTTGTAAGTGTTCAGCAAAGCTCGGCGGCAGGTGGAGGGTAGGAGACCACTGGAGAGGTGGTGGAGGGGTTTGGGGGCTTAAAAGCAAACATTCTCCTTGCAGGTCTTGAGCTAAATTCCCAGCACCCACTTAGAGAGAGGAATCTAATGCCTCTGGCCTCTGAAGACATAGACACTCATGTGCACACACACACACACACACACACACACACACACACACACACACAATAAATCTTAAAAACAAAAGCTCAGCTGGTGATAGCACCACAGAAGTCTTAACTTCCATTCAACAGGAATCTGTAAGACAGTAGAAAGAGGCCAGATAAAGGCTTAAAATGCTACAGAGACTGACAGGGAAGGGGGTCAGCAGTAAAGGTGCTGACCCCACACACCTGGAAACCTGCCTCTAGTCCCCAGAACCCACAAAAAAGGTTAGGATCAGGGCACAGAACCCACAAAGTCATCTAACCTCTACATGAGCCTCTCCCCCATAATAATAGTTCTGAGGCGTGATTTAAAAAGAAAAAACACGTTGGGTGGCCAGTGAGATGGTTCAGCAGACAAAGGTGCTTGCCACCAAGGCTAATTACTTGAGAAAACTACTCCCACAAATTATTCTCCATCCATTTGACATGCACACATATGAGGTAAATAATACAAACGTAGTGCCTGCTGAGGCTTCAAATAGTGCATCAATAGCTTACATTTATGGAATGCTTGCCGATATTCTATACATTATGGAGAACATGCACCCTAGAGAAATGTCAATACACATCCCAATTCTATGATCTTGAGTCCCCCTAACCGCTAAGAAAGTTAAGTAACTTAGCAAAGTCATAGTCAGCAGGTGAGCTACAAAGTTCAGGCTTTGAAACTACCTTCTCCAAGAAACTTTAACTTCCTTAATCTGCTGTTCTGGGGTTCCACTCACAGGAACCCACCTCCTCTTCTCAGCAACCCTCCTCTGCCCTCCAGAAACTTCACCAGCTCCTCCAGGGTGCAGCTTTCATTCGAAGCCTTTGAAATAGTCAACCCCATTAGTGTGGGGTTGACTCCTCAAAGGTAGAGTGTTGGTTCCTGGCCCAGTACAGAGCAGCCCACCATGTCTGCTGCCGAATTCTGGGTGGAGGCTCTTGAGTGCCTGGCTAAGCCCTGTTTCAGCTTACAGGAATGTGAGGTGCTGTGAAGAGTAGGTGGCTAGCTCCCAAGCCTACATGAATGATTTCAGCCCCATGCCGGGCTGCTTGTAGCAGGCAGCCTGGTAAGCCAGCATTGCCTGAATGCACCCTGAGAAGTACCAGTGGAGTTGGGGGTTCTTAGTGGTTATGATGTAGTCCGATGCAGAAGGTACCCAGGATCCAGAGAGGACAGTGGGAAGCTGTGGGCAGGAGACTCCAGAGCCCCTGAACAAAAATTATATGGATAACAACTTCCTGCTTTCTGCTTCAGTCATCAAGCCCTATAAATTCAGCCCCCCAACGTTCACCCCATCACTATCAGAGAACCATTGTCAGCCCTTTCCCCATATCTGTCTCCAGCTCCAGCCAACTTGTCTCCCTCTCCTACCCACACTTCCCTCAGCATTCTAACTCCCGCCTCGACTCGGGCAGTTTCAAAGTTTTCCCTTTTCTTCCTTCTTTCCATTCTCCAATTCTCCCCCTTTTCCTTTCTCCCTGTCCTTGTTCTCACTATACAGCTAGGAAGCTAGTCCTGGCTCTCTCAGACCATGTCAACTATTCTGGCCTTGAATTTACAGCAATCTCTCTGCACCCTCAGTTGTTCTGTCTTAATGGGGGTGTAGAAGCAGTTTGTTCAGAAATTGACCTGCTGAATAAAAGACAGACTGTACATGATAACTTGAAGAATTTAGTTGATACTTGAACTTATGAAAGAAGGCTGGAGAAACATGGTTCGGTTCCCAGATCATCAGGTGGCTCACAGTGGGCTGCAACTCCAGTTCCAGGGGTCCACTGCCCTCTCTGACGTCAGAGGACGCATACACAGGAGGGGCACACATGTAAGAAAAAGATTTCGAAAGGATCACACCAGCATGATTTGGGTGGCCATTTATACATTTATTTGAATTTTTCTTTTGGATACACACTTGAGAATTAATAATTGGCCGAGACCCTCATGGAGTGCCGCCTACAGGGCACTTACGGTCTCTCTCCGGATGTCGCTCCAGCAACCTTCAGTTTCCCCATATGTTAAAATAGAAAGGTTTTGCGGGGCACAGTAGCACATGCTTTAATCCCAGAGGCAGGCATGAGTTTGAGGCCAATCTGGTCTATACGGCAAGTTCCAGGTCAGCCAAGGCTATATAGTGCGAGCTTGCCTTGAAGAAGAGAGGAGGAGAAAGAGGAGGAGGAGGAAAGAAAAAGAAAGAGGGATGGAGAGGTGGCTCAATGGTTAAGAGCACTGGTGGCTGCTCTTGCTAAAGGACCTGGGTTCAATTCCCAGCAACCACATGGCAGCTCACAACGTTCTGCAACCCCCGTTTCAGGAGATCAAACAGCCTCACACAGATACACATGCAGGCAGAATACCAATGCACATAAATAAAAAAAAAAAAATGTCTTAAAAGAGAAAGAAAGGAATAGAAAAGGAAAAAAAGAAAAAGAAGGCCAGTGGAGGAGTCTGGAGACAACACTTAAAAATGAACACCTCGCAAGGGGAAGACAAAGAAGGAAGAACAAGCCATCAGCCTTGGACCTTGAGTGGCTGGCTGAGGGAGAGAATGTGTTTGGTGTCTGCCACATCTTTTCATCCTTCAAAGATACCTTTGTCCATGTTACCAGTCTTTCCGGCAAGGAAACCATCTGCTGAGTCACTGATGGAACGAAGGTAAAGGCTGACCGAAATGAGTCCTCTCATGTGGACCAAAGGAGCAAGGAGCGGAGCATCTTTGCCCTGAATATCAAACGCTGGAGCACAGAAGAAACAGAATCAAGGCCTCTGGACTGTGGGCCCAGCCAGCCTTCAGAACTCTCGCTTGTTCAGGGATTAAGACTGGGTGGCTGAGGATGTCACACCGACACACCCCGTCCCCTGTGACAGCACTCAAAGGAAAAGGGGGAGGGGTTGTTGTGGCCTGTGAACAGGGCTTCTCAAATCATTGCTTTGTGTAAACAAGGAAGGAAGGAAGGAAGGAAGGAAGGAAGGAAGGAAGGAAGGAAGAAAGAAAGAAAGAAAGAAAGAAAGAAAGAAAGAAAAGAAAGAGGGGAAAAAAGGAAAGGAAAGGAAAAAGCAAAGGAAAGGAAAGGAAAAAAGGAAGGGAAAGGCAAAGGAAAGGAAAAAGGAAAGAAAAAGGAAGCTGTGTGCCCATAGTAGCTTGCCAACACTAGGAATAGGTCTGGGAGCGCTGCTACCTGCCATTATGACATTCCCAGCCTTAACACAGCTATTCCCCAGGCTGGGCCCTTTCCTCCTACTGACTTCCGTCTTTCCTGGTCAGTTCCTTCTAGCCTTCCGGAGCTCAGTCTTGGTGCGACTTGACCTACACCGGCACCTTTATGGACGAGAGTCAGTGCGGTGGCGGCCTCCCGAGGAGGCGGGAGTGCATAAAGGGGCGGAACCAGGCAGAGTTTTCCCGGAGTCCCTTTCTCTAAAGCTGGTGGGGGGCTGTCCCAAACGAGGAGCTACGCAAAGGCAGCCCTCTTCGGGGGTCTTCAGAACCCATCCCGGGTTGGATCAGCAACGGGATCGGCCGGGCGTCGAAGGAGTGTCCGAGGAGTAGCGGGGGTGGGGGAGAAGAGGGGCTGGGCCCCAGCTACCGCTGGCAACGACGTGCCCCACCCTCGCTGCACTGCTGGCACCCGCTCGGCCCCCACGCTAGGGGTGCGTGCGGAGACTCCCCGAGCGGAAGGTCCCACCGCCGCCCGGGGACTCGGGATCCCGCCCGCCCTCGGGCGCAGGTGCCGGCTTCAGAAACTCCGATGTCTCCTCGCGTGCGCCCAGGAAGCTGGATGGGGAGCCAGGACATCCCCGAAGGTCTCTCTCCAGACCGCCCGCACCCGCCTCGGGGTCGCCGCGGGCGCTCCCACCACTTGGCACAACCTCAGCTGCTCAGACACCCCGCGGGCGTCCGTCCGCGCTCGGACCCGCCCCCGAGCCTCCATTGGTTGGTCCTGACATGGGCGGGGCCCAGAGAGCGCTCGCGGGTCTAAGCGGGTCTAAGCGGGTCTAAGCGGCCCTGCTCCGGACACTCGCGGGTCCACGCCGTGGGAGCCCACGTTGCTCCGAGGGACCTGCCGGCGCAGCGACGGACGGCCTGCCGAGCGCGTGGCGCGCCGTCGCCGCAGAGCTGCCGCGACAGGTGCGGGCTCGGGGATCGGCGGCGCCGTCGGGTCCCCGCCGTCGGGGCGTCGCGCCGGGGCCTGTGGTTGCGCCTCCGCTGAGCGTCTGAGATGGCCGTGCGTCCCGGGCCGCTCTGGCTTCTGGGTCTGGCGCTGTGCGCCCTGGGCGGCGGCCACCTCCCGCGGCCCCCGCACACCTGTCCCCAGCGTCGCCTGGGAGCGCGCGAGCGCCGCGACATGCAGCGCGAGATCCTGGCGGTGCTCGGGCTGCCGGGACGGCCCCGACCGCGGGGGCCACCCGCCGCCTCCGGGCAGCCAGCCTCCGCGCCCCTCTTCATGCTGGACCTGTACCACGCCATGGCCGATGACGACGATGGCTGGCCACCGCAGCCTCACTTGGGCCGCGCGGACCTGGTCATGAGCTTCGTCAACATGGGTGAGTGTGGGGAGGGTGTCAGGATCGGGGATGGGAGAGGTCGTAGCCACGGTGCAGCGGAACCGCGGGGAAGAGAGGACTGCAGGGGTCAGCACTGAAAAGTCTGAGGGCAGGCGCAGGTTCTCCCGGCCTTCGTCCACCATGGCACCCAAGAATATGAATCTGGTGATGATGCCCAGGTCTCCTAGGTGCCACCGGAAAACAGTCTTGGGGAGACGATGAGTAAAGAGAGGCTGTGATGCTGTCCTTGTGATAAAAGCAGCCCTGAAGAGAGGGACAAAGTTCAGTGTGGAAGCCTGGGGTCATATCATCAAAGTGACCAGAGCTGACCCTCGCGCCCTGACAGCGGGCTCCTTCTGTGCAGCAGGAAGTGGGTGGGTGGGGTGCACTGTCAGGAGGTGGAGTGGACACACTCAGACCATGACTGTAGCCTTGTGGGCCTGGCCCCCAGAGGCTGGACCTTGGCCTGGCGTGGAGAGAGTCCAGGCCAGGGAATGACCCGGCAGCTGTGAGTCCGTTCTCCCCGAGCCTGGCTCCTCCTTTCTCCAGGTGTCCCTTTTCCCTACTAGTCTTCCACTTTTTAACTTACCTGTATGTTTGGCCTGCATGTGTGCCCATGCACCACGTTCACGCATGGTGCTGGCAGAGGCTAGAAGACAGCATTGGATGCCCTAAAACTGGAGTTCCAGACAGTTGCGAGCAGCCATGTGGGTGCTGGAAAACCAAATCCTCGATGGCTGGAAGAGCAGCCAGCGTTCTTGACTCCTGAGCCATCTGTGTCTCTGGCTGCCTCCCCCCCACTTCTTTACTTTTCTTTTATGTATATGAGATTTTCCTGCGTGATGGTATGCGTACCAAGCGCGTGCCATGCCTTGTGAGGGGCAGAGGAGGGTGTCAGATCCTCTGGGACTGGAATCAAAGATTATGGGAAGTCATGAGCAGCAGGTGCTCTTAACCACTCAGCCATCTCTCCAGCCCCAACTTCTAATAGTCTGAAAGTCTCCATCAACTGCTGGTCAGATTCCCCACCCAGATTGCTTTGCTGGTCTTTGTGACCAGGTGGAGGCCTGGGCAGGTCTGAATACCGGGTCTTGAGCAGTGAACAGGGAGAGGACCCTTGCTGTGCCCACCAGCTCCTGTAGAGCATAGCTAATCCTTCTAGCAGAGGTGAACACTCTCCCATTCTCCACTCTCCCATTGCCCAGGGGAAGGCAGGGAAACACAGAGAGGCCACGACTGCCCTGAAATAGCCCAGGAGAGACTCGGATCCCCTAGCTCTACCTCCAGTGCTCAGGTTGGTAATGTTTCCTCCGAGCTGGGGCGAGCTCTTGATAGGGTATGGGCAGAACAACACAGGGGACTGGACTGCAGAGTGGAATGAGGGGATACTCAATCACTCATTTTCCTACCAGAAGGCAGGAAGAGAGGGCACCCAAGCCTCTGTCCCCTCTCCAGAGCTGGTGGCCGCCTAGGTAGGGTAGAGCAGAGCACATCGAGAAGGCAGCTATTTAGGACCCGAAGCGCAGGGCCAGTAGGGACTGCAGCCTGCCTGCTTAGCAGGCAGGGTGGGGACTTAGGACAGACCACATGTGGAGCTGTGACTGTCGCTCCCTCCTTAGGACAGGCTGACCCAGGGCCGAGGACTGAGAACTAAGGAGAGAGTTGCCCAAGAATGTCCCCGGAGGAGCTGCCGATGGGAGTGAATCACCACCCTGCCCATGTTCCGCACCCCACCCCTACCCTCTGGTCAAAACATGAAAGGCTCTGGTGGGAACTCTTGCTGTAAATAGACCGGGGCCTGCCGCTGCTGCCCCTGTGCGATTTGGGGGAAGCCCCTTTGTCTCTCCGTCTAACATCTGTCCTTTTAAATGCGACTCCTGGGCCTGGCATGGCGAAACACACACTTTTAATTACAGCACTGAGGAGGCAGAGGCAGGTAGATCTCTAGGAGTTCTGGGACAGCCAGGGCTACCTAGTGAGACCCTGTCTGAAAATAAGTGGATAAATACACGAGACTCCTCGTGGCCTGTCCTCAAGGTTATATGACTGATTGACAGAAGAACGGGAGCAGAAAAGCAGCCTCACTCCGTCTTGAGTGTGAACTGGGGCCTGATCAGCCACTGCTGACCCCAGTGTGAACTAGACCCAGGCCACTGCTGACCGTCCTTCTAACCACAGCCCAGCCTTGCCTGTAAAGGAATGAAATTTCTGTGTGACTCCGTGTGATAAATCACAAATCCTAACGCTCAGAAGGCTAAGGCAGGAGGAGTGCCACAGCTTCGAGGCCAGCCTGGGCTACATCATATGTTTAAAGCCAGCCAGGGCATCAGAGTAACCGCAGACATGTGTTGAAAGAAAGAGGATGGAAGAAGAGAGAGAAGAGATGGAGGGAAGGGAGCGAGAAAAGGAAGATAAATTAGTCCTAGACAGCGTAGCTCTGGCTGTCCTGGGACTCAGAGATTCACCTGTCTCTGCCTCCTGAGTACTGGGATTAAAGGTGTGCACCGCCACACCCATCTGAGAATAATTATTTACCTGGTGACTGCTGGACCCAATGTGTCACACATGTTCCCAGCCAGATGCCTCCTGTTGGCAAGCCGGGCTGAGCCAGCATGCGGCCTGAAGCAGCAGCATCTCGGTGACGTCAGTGACTGTGACACTGTGGCGCAGGTGTGACAGCAGACTCCTGTCCCTGGAGTCCCTGTGCTCAGAGGAGGGAGAGCCCTGAGCTAAGCTGGTAGGGTCAGCACCAGACCCAACTCCTGTCCCTTCCGGATCTGCCCTTGGTCCCCGCTTGTCTCCACCCACGTGCCCTCGCTCCTGTGGTCCTCTGTTTCTTGCCGGTGTCTGCTGTGATATATCAGAAAACCAAGATGCCTCCCAGCCCTGACCCTTGGCTCTGTCTCAGAGGCACCTGTGTGCTCACGGCCCCGTCCCTGGGCTGGGTGGCCTCGGGCCCTCCTGCCCTTCCCAAGGGTGGAAGGAGGCAGGAAGGACCAGCCGTGCTGGTGTCAGTGGACAGGCAGGTGCGCTGCTCTGGATGGGAGAGTGAGGCACAAGTAGCCGAGACAGGCAGAGTCCAGGCAGGACCGCAGTGTGGCCATCTGCACTGCCCTGGCCCCTTTCCCAGCCCAGGAGCTTCTATTCCCGGGGCCTCACATGGCCCAGGGCAGGGGCAGCAATGGACTGTGACGGCCGGATCTGAGGGGATGAGACTGTGTGGGCATTAGAGACCCAGCTATGGAGCTGCTCTGCCCCCGCCAGCCTTGTGACCAGCTAGACTCGCTCACCACTGACCTCAGGTCCCTTCCTTTGACTCTTTGCCAGAGAATTCCTTCATTTCTTCACTCACTCATTCATTCACTCATCTATTCCTCCCACAAGTAATCACACAGTACCTACTATGTGCCGTGAGGCCTGGCTCCTGGTTCCAGTTCTGGGGGGAAGTCACACTGCCTGTGTCCTTTCAGAGATGACATTCCAGTGGGAGAGACAGAGAACACATACATGAAGGTGGTGGTCACGGATGATAGACACCTCTCCCCACCCCCATTTGGAAGCAAGAGGACCTGAGAAGGGCGGGGTCAAGGGTCTTCTGACCTGGGACTCACACTGAGAGAATTCCCACCCAGATGCCATGCTTACTCTCCCTGTGATCTGACCTATCCTGCCCCCCCCCGAGCCTCAGTTTCCCTCATTTCCCAGTTTCCTCATTTCTCTGTGAAATGGAGATGCTCGTCTTAAGGGGCTACCGGGGCTGAGTGAGATGATAACTGTGCTGGCCGCATGCCCAGACCTCCACTGGCAAGTACCACCGCAGGAGAGTGAGGCTCAGGGAAGGCTGGGGTCCTCCCGGGCCACACAGCAGCCTTCATCCCGTGCCTCTGCCCGTGCAGCTGCCATCCATGTAGGTTCACAGGTTCACTGCATGAAGTTCAGGCCATCCACGAGGAGATCATGAGTTCCCCTGGGAATCATGCCTCTGCCAGCCAGGCCCGCTCGGCAACTGCTCTGCGGTTCCTGTCACCAAAGGCTCCTCCGGGCTGTTTCTAAGCGTCTTAGAAACGGGGTCGTGCACTGTGTGGCCATCCCAAGGTGCCCTGTTAAACCCCCAGTCGGTGTCTTTCCCTGAGTCACCCACGTCTCTTCACCCACGTCTCTGTCAGCCTGAACCTCTGAGTTTCAGCAATGGCTGACAGAGTGAACCTTGCTCATTTATTTCTATTAATGGAGATTGGGCTCCTTCCCATTTGAGAGTGCTGCTTTGAATAAAAGTCTTCTGTGTTTGTAGTCCCAGGTACTCAGGAGGCTACGGGAGCACCTTACATTCAAAGAAAATGAGAAAGAGAGAGAGAGAGAGAGAGAGAAAGGAAGAAAGAGAGAAAGAAAGAAATGGCTTAGGGTACAGAAATCTCGCTGCTCTCACAAGGGACCCAGTTTGGTTCTCAGCCTCCATGCTAGATGCTCACACTCCCTGTTACTATACTCTAAGGGGATCTAATCCCTCTGGCTTCTGTGCGCTTCTGCACTCAAATGCACATACCCACATACATACAGATACACGTATGTACAAAGACAAGGGATGTAGCTCAGCGGTGGAGCCTTTGCTAGTGTGTGTTAGGCCTGGAGTTCAATCCCCAGTACCAAAAAACAGACCGTCATTCTCATCCCCTGCTGGTGTGTGTGTGTGTCTGGGTGCATGTGGGTGCATGTGTGTGTACATATGTGTGTGTGAGTGTCTCCCTCTGTGTGTGCATGCACACAGAAGCATGTCCTGGACATCAGACTTGGGGCCTTTCCCTCCTAAGCGTCCCTACCACTGAGCTTCACCCGCGCCCACATCCATTTATAGAAACTAGATAAACTCCACCCCCATTTTAAAAGAGGTGGGCAAGATTTCCAGACGCCTGCCCTAGCCCGGCGCCTCCACCCTGACAGGCAAGCTCCTTCATGGTGAAGTCCAGCTTAGGGCCACCCTCGGAACACCTCCTGGGGTGCAT